AAGCATCTTTAACGTAATCAAGTAATATAAAAAAACGAGCGAGCCTTGTACAGTAGTCGCGTATGATGTGTAACATTTGAAACTTTACCTTATATTAGTAAAAAAAGAAATAAAATCTACTACTTACACAAAGAATAAGCCATTTGAACATTATGTTCTAAAATCAAATCAAATAGCGCGCGCTTTCGCGACTTTCTGTTACACACTTCCGTCCCATTTCACGAAATCAGTCCCACAAAAAAACGGCCGCATCTGTTTTTTACATTAATTTACAACTTTTTTTTTCACAGCTTCAAGGAACCACGGACCTGATAAAAATTCAACTCAATAACTCCACGGTTCCCAATATAATGGCGCATAACAGACAGACGAAAAACAAAGTGATCTTATAAGGGTTCCACAAATTTTAGTTTTTCACAGCTTCAAGGAAATGCGGACCTGAGTATAATGGTTTAAAATTCAACTCGATAACTCCACGGTTTCCAAGATAACGGGTCATAACAGATAGTGATCTGTTAAGGGTTCCGTTTTTCCTTTTGAGGCACGGAACCCTAAAAAATGCTGATAGTTCGCCGGCCCAGCTAGTTAAATATAGAGAATAACTTTTATCATTGTACTTACATTTTTAAAAGAAAAGTTTGAATTGAATAACCTCTTTTCATTAAATCGAGCACTACACTAATACCACAGGTTATTTAATGTGCTCTGAACAACTGAATTAATATTCAATGGTTTTCCTCCTCTTATTTACCTCAATTATGTCATCCACAATCCCTAAAGTATTTTGGTTTACAAAAGCTTTTGTGCCTACAATGAAGTAGACACCTTCAGCAAAAACACATTTCAGTGCGAAATTTTCTCTAAATTAGATAATCCATATTAATTAATCCATACACTCATAAACTACACGAGTGGCACAAAAAATGTCAACTACATATGGTACAGTTTTCCGTGATATAAAGTATCCTATTTCTAAATCCAGGTCATAAACTATATGTGCAGCAAATTTCATCCAAATCCGTTCAGTAGTTTTTGCGAGACCTAACAAACATACAAACTTTCCCTTAAATAACATTAGCAGGAAGTAGGATTAAAATCATTGTTTCGAGCAGAGCCGGATTTAACGCTGGGCACGTGGGGCTGTGGCCCAGGGCCCCAGAACAGATAAAAAACAGGCAAGTGCGAGTCGGGTTCGCGCACCAAGGGTTCTGTAAAACATGTGATGTAAGTAATTTACGGTTTTCGAAATTATTTCTTTATCTGTGCTGTAAGACTTTGCTTCGTACCAATTTTCAAGATTCTGAGTTTACGGGAAGTACCCTGTAGGTTTTGATTCCCTTGCGATTTTCGAAAATTTGCGGCGTAGACAGCTGTATCTTTTGATCGCGTTGGCTTAGAAGTTTGATTCATTCTTTCACATCACAGCACAAAGGTTCAGTAGAACTGGTATTTATATTTACTGTGTAAATAAATTTCAGCTTGATACCTCCACGCGTTTCTGAGTTTTCGTGTCAGACGGACGGACGTACAACAAAGTGATCTTATAAGGGTCAGGCCGTAGATTTTGCCACAAATAGCGCAATGGTGTCGCAAAAATTTCTACGAGTCCATAGCGCAGAGTGACGCAAAATGGTAACGCAAAATTGTTAAGGAGTGCATACAAGATATGTAACGTAAGGACAGTGCTACAAAATAAAATACACTTTTAATAGGTAAGTATGACAAACGTCAACTTTTACTCTGATCTTTAAGTCTTAAAAGATGTTACAAAAAAGCGGAGAGTTCTATTGCTAGAAATACAATTCCTTAACAGGAACTAAAATCGAAACCTCAAAAAAAACACAAATATTACAAAAGCTAAAAAAACACCTGCAAGCCTATGTGTGTAAGCTCCTTTATTTGGTAGCGTAAAATTAGTAGCGCAAATTCTACGCCCCTGGTATCGCAAAGTTGCATAAAGTCATTTTTGCGCAACTGTTGCGCAAACAAAACTCATTATAACTTGATAAATAAGCTATTTTTTAATGTAAATTAAGCCTTGAAAGATGTCAAACATTTCATTAAATCGTGCGCAATAATAAGTATAGATATAAATCAAAAACTTACCGTGATATATCAAAAAACACTCTCCGCAAAAAATATGACACTTCCTTCTTTCAAACGATGTTGACGTTGGACTGAAAAAAATATGACCGCTGACAGCGTATTGAGCATAGACAAAGTATGTTCGGTGTTGCCACTACTCAGACTTGAATACTGCTATTTTTTAAACACAACCAAATGGGCATTTATTATTTGCGCAATAAAAAGTAGCGCAAAGGAATGGATTTTAACGTTTTTCGAAAATGAGTGAAAATTTATGAAATTTCTTAGGTAATAGGAAACGATATTTAAAATGTGGCTAACTAACTATTATTGTATAGCGTAAAAGCAAAAGCTATGAAAAAGATTTTTATTTTTGATTTTACTGATGCTCAAAGTGCACCTCTACCGGGGCGGATAAGCGTATTTTACGAAAAATTCATCGCTTTTTGTAGCAAAATATTTTATAAAATTCTAAGGTTTTGAAGATATTTAAATATATTTATTGATCGCGATTCACCATTTGTGAGGAAATATGATTCTATTATTGAAAAAAAATGTAACTACCGTACTTTTTTTTTAAAATGTGGAGGAGAGTTATGTTATAACTAATGTGGCAAAGTTTACGGCCTGACCCATAAGGCTTCCGTTTTTTTTTCCTTTTGTGGAATGGAACCCTAAAAACAACTAGTTCGACTGGTTACGAACCAGGGAAGTAGGGGGGAGTCCAAATCCTAAATGGATCCGTGTGTCAGATTTAAAAATACGCCTTTGCTATGGATTCCCAAACCTTCGTTGCCCCAGGATAACCACACCTCTAAATTCGGCCCTGGTTTCGAGATGTAATTTACAAATTCTGTTCATCATCTTCTCATAGCCAAGGGTAGCGTACATTCGTTTAATTATCTTGTACTGTACCATCAAGGGTACAACCAAAGATACAAAGGAAACTAACTGATGATGTGTTAATTAAAAATCAGCAGTAGGTACCATAAAACAGACATTTAAACTACCTTTTGAAAACGTCCATAGAAATATTATAAATGCGAGTATTTATCTGTCCTCTTTACGTTTAAACCATTAAACAGATTCAGATGAAATTTAGTATAGAGGATAAGAAATAGGATAGTTACTATCCCAGAGGAAGAATTTTACCTTTAAGGGGTTGAAGTGGCGGTGGGGGGAGTTTGTATGGGAAACCAATGTTCCTACGCAGAGGAAGTCGCGGGCAACCACAAGTCATAAATAAACAGCACAAATACCAGTAACAAATCTTTTATTTAGATTAATATCAATATTATATTACAATGACGAATAAAACAATTGCAGTTTATAACTATACTACAAAACTGATAATAGGTGTACCTACCAATAATTAATTATGAACTAAAATAACTTTATTGTATTGTGATCCTAGAATTGCACCCAATAAAATTTTCATAGTTAAACAAAACTAAATTAATGGGATTGAATTACACAGTGATGTCGATTCTGGCATGATTCTCTAAAGCTAAACTTAAATTTGACAACAGTGCATCCTTGTCATTCTCTATGCAGATTGACAAGGAGAGACTGATATTAAATTTAGTTTTAAGTTTAGAGAACCACGCCAGAATCGATAATATGGTCAAGGTTAAAAAAGAAAAAAAAATCATACCACTGGGAGTAAAAAGGGACACGATTGAATCAGCATATTATTGGAGTTTACAATTTATGACGTTATAGTAGGTAATTAATAAAAATCATTTTTTTTGTTTACAAAACTCCGGTGCAGATGGCGTGATATTATACCTCTTATTAGTGGCAAAAGTAAATACTGTTGTCAAGTTTACAAATATGGTGGCATGACAACTATAGTGATAAATTGACAAATCCGACTGTTTGTAATGAAACTGATCAAAAAACACCTTTAACAAATCATATTGATGGCAAAAACAAAAGTCAACGTTTCGTGAAAGTTAATTTTTAACATATTAAACCCTTTCATCACAATGAGGGTGCTGAATCAGTAAAATTCTGAATGCATCTTGAATTACAACGAGCGACGCAAACTTATTTCTATAAAAGTGAGTTCACTATTATAAGTACGTGCAAAATGTAACTTAACTTATATTATTGTAGTGATAATTGACTATGGAATGGTGATTTGATCCTAAAAATTGCATTTCTTTTGGACCAGCTACAATGTGAATAATATGGTTACAAAAATTTAAACCTTTCATAGAGTTTTCATCATAAAATATACAGGGTTACAGGGAAAGTCGTACTGAATATTGAAGGACGTTATTATTCAGGTCATTTCTGATATATATCTGAGATATAATATGGTGTCCGAAACATAACCGTTATGGAGATATTGGATATGTAAGATTTTTTTAAAAAAATCCTATATTTTTTGGGTTTTTGTCGATTTTTTTGAAATTAGAGCTCCAAAGGTCCGATTTTTTAATGTATCTAGTTAGAAGACATGTCAAGCAATAAAAATTATGAATAAAAACTGAACCTACTTCTAACGGCTTAAAAAAACTGCTCGACAACGGTTGTAACTAAAGAATTTTCACCAAGTGTTCTAACTTTGAAGCGCTATTCTAAAAAAAATGTATGGAACTTATTCTGCAAATAATTTTAAAAACTTCTACGTCTCTTTAGCTATTCAAAAAGGTATAACACTTGCTATTAAATTGGCAAAACATTGACCAAATAATAGTTATGGTAGCAGAGGGTACATTTTTAGTTTGAGGTAAAAATAGCAAAAATACGTATATAAAACCAAAAAAGCTTAGTAAATATTTTTAAAATTCATGTTCAACATGGCCGCCGCTATTTCTAACACATATTCTCATTCTTTTTCTTAAATTACATTATTATGTGTGGGGTCATATGAAAAGCCTTGTATACGACCAGATGATGCCGATCGCAAATATCGATATTTTGCGACAAAGGATTATTGATGCGGCTGAGGATATGAGGCGGAACTTAAAATCTTCTGTAGTAAAAAGTAATTTAAGAAAAAGATTGAGAATATATTGTGTTAGAAATAGCGGCGGCCATGTTGAACATGAATTATAAAAATATTTACTATGCTTTTCTGGTTTTATTTACGTATTTTTGCTATTTTTACCTCAAACTAAAAATGTACCCTCTGCTACCATAACTGTTATTTGGTCAATGTTTTGCCAATTTAATAGCAAGTGTTATACCTTTTTGAATAGCTAAAGAGACGTAGAAGTTTTTAAAATCATTTGCAGAATAAGTTCCATACATTTGTGTTTTAGAAAAGCGCTTCAAAGAACACTTGGTGAAAATTCTTTAGTTACAACCGTTGTCGAGCAGTTTTTTTAAGCCGTTAGAGGTAGGTTCAGTTTGTATTCATTATTTTTATTGCCTGACATGTTTTCTAACTAGATACATCAAAAAATCGGACCTTTGGAGCTCTAGTTTCAAAAAAATCGACAAAAACCCAAAAAATATAGGATTTTTTAAAAAAATCTTTAATATCCAATATCTCCATAACGGTTAAGTTTCGGACACCATATTATAGGACCCAATCCATCAGAAATGACCTGAATAATAACGTTCTTCAATATTCAGTACGACTTTCCCTGTAACCCTGTATATGAGAAATTAAATTATATATTAAAATAAAATTTGGTAAAAATATTTATACAAGAAAAAGCGTTTTCTATTGTTTACTTCGTAAATTATAACATTTTAAATGTTTATTAAAGAACGACAATTTTGATGAAAACTCCTATCAATAATTAATATCATAAAAAATACAATTTTACACTTCAATTGGAATCTGGCAAAATCCAAAATGTGTCAATGACATTTTGGATTGGAAAAGTGCTAAAGAAACGTCGCTTTATGATATAGGGGATATTACATAAATTTAGTTGATAAATCAAACTCTTTAATTTAAATATTAACATAACAATTTAATAACAAGTCTTCCGAAAAAGGGTAGCTATTATAATTTTTAAAATACATATCCCGATCAATCTAAATATGTATCTATTTTAATTGCGCAAAAACCTTAAATAATAATAACAATATATTGACAAGGTATACCTCCTTGAACATATTAAAATGTATATTTTAATAGCTTCCTGTTTACAGCTAACGAACGTGTAATCTAAAAATGAAAGAACCAAACAATAAGTGTTTTAAGCAATATAAGCTTTAGTTTGCAATTATTGCATAGTTACTCCTAGTAACATGACATAATATGGAATATTGTAATTAATTTTAGAATGTTTTTTTTAATAAATCGGTAACGAGTTTGCTAAACAAACTTTATTATTTTGTGGTATAAAACACATATTTGCTTAAAACAGCAGTCTTTAATTTTCATTCCCTATAAAGCATGATAAGGACAAACTGCTGTTAAAGTGACAAATAATAATACATTACACAAATGGTTTTTTTTATATTTTCATTTAAACATTTTTTTAATATGTAACGAAAGAAAATAACTAAAGTAGTGGCACCAATGACCGCCAAGAACCAATGATCGACATATTTTTTTGGGATTGGTGAAAATAAGAGTAGGTAAATCACTACATATGATAAAACTGAGCTCGGTGTTACCATATTTGGTGATCGGTTAACTACTCTTATATTCATTGATAATTCATAATTAAAGAGGGACTTAAATAATAAAACTAATTCAATTTATTTTAATTAAATATTAACATAACAATTTAATAACAAGTCTTCCAAAAAAGGGTAGTTATATAATTTTTGATATACATATTCCGATCAATCTAAATGTGTGTTTGTTTAGATTGCACAAATAATAAGTACAATATTGAAAAATCTGTACCCTTATTTTCATTGATCACAGATAAAATCACGATCATGTCGGCCATTGGTGCCACTACCTTACTAAGTATCAGCAAACTTTAAAAACAATACGAATGAAATTGGTAGATTTGTTCAGTTATTTAATGACTGAGGTAAATATGTATGAATTATTTATTTAAATAATTATATACATAGATATATAACCGAATATTTTATGAACACCTTCATTAGTCAAACTCCAGTAAGAAATAGGCTATTAGAGCTTTATAGGTGCCGATACTGACATGATTCTCTAAACCTAAAATTAAATTTGACAACAGTATATCCTTGTCATTCTCTATACAGAATGAAAAGGAAACACTGATGTTAAATTTTGTTTTCTGTTTAGAGTATCATGTCAGAATCGCCACCATTGCCTACATATTTTTATTATTAATATTAAACAATAATGTTGCCAGATAATACTTCATTTTTACTGGAGGTTGGTTATTGAAACTGGACTTTAAAGTAATACCTGTCTCTTTCCCACTCCATAGGTTTTACCTACATCTGTTGCGTCGAGTTTCCGTTCCAAGTGTTATTATCGTCGCTTTCGTCATTCGCTCTATCGCCTGGTAGTCTATGGATATTGCCTCTACGCCTTACTCCGGGGGGAGGTGTTTGTCTATGGGTGGGGGAAGGCGGTCTTCTCGAGGGAGGGGGGGAATCCCCCGTTAGTCTTGATCGCAGCCAAATGTAGATTTGCTGTGACGGCTCGAGTACGAATGATGTGAAGATTTGCGTGAAGAATGCTAAGGAGTAAGTAATAATATTAATAATAAATAAATAATAATTACATAGTAAAAAAATTAAATTATGACTGCCAAGATTCATAAATCTCAAGAAAATTTTAATAGAAAAAATCGAGTGGACTTTTTCTATTAAAATTTTCCAAACATCAGATAGAATTCAAACCCGCACCTAGGCAGATTCAGGTCTTTTGCCTTGGAGGGATTGGGGAGGAGGGAGGGAGGAGTTGGATTGGTTAGTGTGTCCACCCGGATAGCGAAAGATGCAGGTTCGAATCCTCTCTATACACCAACCAATCACGAAAAAAACTGTCATTTTTCTATAAAATTACAATTTTAATTCTGATAGCTACAAAATAAACTCTAATTCTATCACCATAAGAACTGAAATAACCAGTCATGATCGCATTCTTTCGTTGGCCGTATTGACAAATTATAGAGGAGAGGAAATTCAACATGGCCATGAGGGCAGCGGTAGCATAATAATTGGTCAGTGCACCCGCCTAGATAGCGAAGGGTGCGGGTTCGAGTCCCGTCTGCTGCAAATTTTTTTTTTCGAAAAATTTCGCAACCTTAACCCACTATTTGGGCCATTATGAAATATTAACAATTTTTAGTGTCATAAATTGATTCTAATAAATCCACATACTTTAAACGAGTAATAGTTCCAAAATAGGTACGTTATTTACAAATTTGCACCATTTTAGGATATTTTGTAAACGATATAAATCGATATTTTTGTATGTCACAAAAAGAGGTTAAAAGGGCCTTGTGGGCTGGGCAGGCGCGTCACAGTTATGTGTGAGCAAATGCTCACAACTTGATCAAAACTGGGTTCTGATTGCGTCGCTGCTCTCGGGTTTGAGCGCCGATTGGTTCGATTGCTTGATGACGCGTCCTTTGATTGGCTATTATCTATTAGGTGGAAGTATAGCGGGGGTGGGGGTGGGTCGGCTACATCAGTTCCCGTACAAACGGTTTTTGATCACTTTTGTAACCACTTTCTGTGTTTATAACTATTCATCATAAGCCTATTAATGTCCTCACTACTGGGGCACAGGCCTTCCCCATGGATGGAATAGAGAGATTGGGCCATGACCCACCACGCGGGCCTAGTGCGGATTGGCGGGTGCTAACGACTGCGGATGCAGTCGGGACCAACGGCTTAACGCGCCTTCCGAAGCACGGAGGAACTCGAGATAGAAGATTTTTGGTCACCCATCCAATGACCGACAACTGCGAAAGTTGCTTAACTTCAACGATCGCAGCCGAATGCGCAAACCACCCGCGCCATCGAGCTCCTCTAACTGTTCGCACTATTTTAATTAGTAACACAAAATTCACGGTGTATAGTTTTTCGACTCACCGATAAGTGAGGCGAGAGCACTAGGTGTGGCCACTTGCGCGGGCTGTCGACGAGGTAATACCAATAATGCGGCAGATGGCGCTAATTGAAGTCTGCGCAGAGTCTCATCGCTTTCGGTCAACTCGCGCCGGGGGAACGCCGTCCATATGGAGAACGAAGACGTCGCCATCTAGATGTATGTGAGGTAGAAAAACATATAAATATATAGAATAGAACAGTTAAGTGAGATATTATATTTAAAAAAATAGTGTGCACGGACCACACATCTGAAGTGAAACTTCCTTTTTTCTTGATTATTTTATTTGAATAGATTCACAGTAGTGAGTGGTATAAGCGTAAACAGGTAACAGACAGACAACTTTTTTGCATTAATTTTTCAATATGAATAGAACACTTCTGTGAGATTTATTTTATGTTAAAAAGAAAAATTAAAAAGCTTTTATTTTAATGGTCTAAAATAAGTTTGAAACCTTCTTATTAGGAGTAACTCATTGACTGAAAGGTCTGAAAAAATCTTACTTCGGTCAATGGACTATCACTAGTTATAATGCGATTCAACTAAGAATAGGACCAACTGGGCACCATTTCATGACGTCATAGCTGTCAATTCAAACCAAATAGGCAGAGTGAGCAAAAAAAAATTTTTAATTAATAAAACTTATTTACTAAGATTAAGTGAGAAAAAAAATCAGATGTTTGTAATTTAATTTATTTACTAAGATTAAGAAAATAAACAACCGATTTTTAATAATGATTATTTTTTAAGACTGTATGAGAAAAAACATTATTCAGAATCTAGCTCTTCAATTCCGCTCATCTCTGCTTTACCGCCGGAGTAGTTATGAATCATGCACTATTACTAGGTCACTTACGGACATGCACTCTTTATGTAAACGAAAGTTTTAAATCGAGTTTATGAACGAAGCTTAAAGTGACATTTGGTTGACGATTTATCTTATCAACCAGTTATAGCCAAAGCTCAATAAATGAAAAAAAATATCAAACAATATTAATTATCATATTTGTTATTGTTTGTTTACACATGTTTGGTTTTTATTCTAGAATATTTAGCTGAGTGTTAAAAAAAGGCTCTAAGATTTTTTGCACACCGTACTTTTCAAGCGACATTTGACAGATGGAGATCATTGGCTTTCCTATGCTTATTTGAATCGCAATATAGTTTAGAATTTAAATTTAAGAGTACGAAACGTGAGTACGTAAATGAGTCTTACATTCAAATTGTCAGCTATGTATCGTTGTATGTCTCCCAGAGTACCATCTGCGTCGAAATGGGCGGTATGCGAAGTACCGTCGGGTAATTTGAACTGTACCCGCGCCCGAGAACTGCCATCACCGGACGCTAAATAAATAATAACGATCATCACATCAGCATATTAATGTCCCCACTGCTGGGGCACAGGCCTTCCCTACGGATGGAATAGGGAGTTTTGGCCGTGACCCACCACGCGGGCCCAGTGCGGATTGGTGGGTTCTAACGACTGCAGATGCAGCCGGGTTTCAACGGCTTAACGTGCCTTCCGACTCACGGTTTGCTTAAAAGAATACATTTTTTGGTCACCCAGCCAACGGTATTAAATACCCTCGATACACCAATACGAACAAAATTTTGCCTAAAACCTGTCCAAAAGGTACATTGGACCATCCACGGAGCTCTGTAACATGATCGCGTAGTCAAAAACAATATAAGTCATTATTTAAACATTGAAAGTCTTGAGTGATATTCAAGCACTTCTTGATTGGGACACATTTTGAGCGCACGTGGTATTTAATATCGTTGCACCCATCCAATGACCGACCACTGTGAAAGTTGTTCAACTTCTTCATTCATATTCGTATTTGCTATTTGTCATTTTGACAGCAGGTTGTCCATAACGTACTCCTTAAGAGTAAAAGGGAAAGACTGTTGTCAAGATTACACATAGCAAATACGGATAAACATTTGTCCCAACTGGGTTTTGAACCCAAGACCTCAGAGAGGGCGACGCTTTGAAAATCTGTGTACAGACAGCAACAAATCCAGTTGTTGAGAACATTCGAATTTCTTCAACTGAACTTGAAAATATACTTATGTTTGGTATAAAATTAGTTGATAGTTCATTAATTAGACCGTCGTCATATAATATAAAATGGAAATATATATTTTATTTCAATTAAAGTCACACCCATTTTAATTAAAATAAATAAATATTTCCAACGCTCACACCAATTAGCCTAGCCCCAAAGTAAGCACTATAAGGCTTGTGGTATGGGATGCTAGGGTAATGGATAGAATACATATACTGTACATATATTTATGTAGAAATACATATTAAACATCCATGACTGGAGTACAAATGCTCATATTCATCACACAAACATCTGCTCCCACCGGGATTCGAACCCGGGACCTCTCGAGTCTGCGACACCATGAAACCCGGCATACAAACCACTCGGCCACGGAGGTCGTCGAAAATGAAATATATTTTGAAAAACTGAAAACCAGTACTTCCAGAAATCCTTATTTGACTTGACTTGAAAAAAAACTTTAACGATTTTTGATATCGGTCTAGTACTTAGTTATTGAATTTATTTGACAAACATACAAAATCACCATAGCCTATAGACGCATGCGATACTAAAAATATCACTCGAGCCGTTGCCTTCCCTGACCTAATCCCCTACCCTGTGGAGCCCTTATTAATAAAGAAATATTTCCAACACTCACACCAATTAGCCTAGCCCCAAAGTAAGCACTGTAAGGCTTGTGTTGTTGAATACTCGAGTGACGGATATACAGAAGTATATTTTATATAGAAATACATTATTTACACCCATGACTTATGTACAAAAGACATTTATAATAATAACATTTGCCCCTCCGGGATTTAAACTTGGAAGAGGCGACACCTTGAAAGTACAAAGCACTCGGCCAAGAAGGTGTTCAAAACTTCAAGATATTTTGTTAAAATTGACACTTACTGGCTACAACCGGCGTCGCTTGAGCGTTCTGAGCGAGCGTGGGCGTCGCTTGGTCCCTCGCTTGCCTCTCCGCTCGGTCTTGAGCGATCTGCTCCAATATCCGTTGTCGAGCCAAATTGTTCTCAAGTTTCTCCCGTTTGCGTTCCTCCTAAATAACACCCCACAGACCTCAATAAAGTATTTGACAGTACAAAAAATAAAGTATCAATTGTTGCCATCTGTATATCTGGCTGAACGGATTTATCTTATCTTGGTTTTGAAATGTTCGTGGAGGTCTAGGGAAGGTGTTAAAAGGTGAGAAAAATTCGAATAATTGCCGGAAACCCCTAAAACAGTCTTTTTCGTTTTCTAAATAAAATGTAGAGTCAATATTAAATTGTCAGTTGTAATTATAAATTACACTGTTGTCTAAGTAATGTAGGTGTATTCCTAACGTCAAATAGTCAATTTGCAATTTATTACCGCTGCACAAAGTTCAAATTCAATCATATCTAACAAAATAGTCGTCGCGACCGCGTTTTGGAGGGTCTAATGTCGCGTTCCGAAACTCAACAAAAGTGATTATTCTATGGCAGTACGAAGTTCGTTGAGACAGCTAGTTTAATATAAATATTAGCAGCGATTTTACCATTCAGGCAGAACAAATAATTAATTACTTTTCTAAAAAAAAACATTAAATAGAAATGCCTTTTTTGTTCTATAGTCACGTGACCGAAAATGATTGGGCTTGGCGAAGACTAAAATGGCGTCATACGCTAGTAAACCTCCGGTCAAAGTGACATTACATTACATCGACGATCGACGTTTTAATGGCAGTCGTGTGACGTCACATACTACTGAGACGCCATATTGTCCAGAGAAACGTTTTCGCGGAAACTTGCAAATGTTTTTTTTTACTAAAATACACAACAGATTGATGAATATCCGCGTTTTATGGTTTTCATAAACATAAGTAAATAACGTGAAATATTTTTTTTAAACTTGCCAAATACCCTATTACCTTTTTCCTTGTCTATCAGGTAGATTATCGAAAAGTATTGGACACGTATTTTTTCTTTATTCACATGAGCAAAACAACTCTATGATACGTATCTCATTATTATTAATTTATTAAATGTTGTGCATGTACTAAAAGTGATGAGAAAATGGTTTTAGTTTATTTAATTTGATTTATAATTTAAGAAGACTGTGGTATTTTTCCCGTCCCGGTGATGGCGGTGGCGATGTAGCGGCCACATCGTGAGGCCCGAACTTGCGGAAGTGCATGAATGGAGTTCAAGCACTTCTTGATTGGGATACATTTTCAGCGTACGGGGTGGTATTTAATATCGTTGGCAGTAGTTCATAATAATCGTACCTGTATTTGCTTGAGTTCTTGGTCGGCCTGCCATCTCTTCAACTCTGCGACTCCATGTCCTTGCGAACGACGCTCAATTTCCTTCTGTTTTTCAAGCTATCAAACAAGCAAAATTAAACTTTATTCCAAAACGTGAACTAAAGTTGGTCTCGGTTCAAACCTAATGCTCTGTCTTTTTTTAGCAAACAAAAGTGAAACTTTACACTGCTTTTTGTTATAAAGCGGTATTTATTTAACAAACTTTATTGAATACATATATAAAAATGGTACTAAATGCGAACTTAATGCTAATAGCATTCTCTACCAGTAAACTGATGGCAAAAAACGATAAACACGGAAGTTTCCTACCTTCGTGATTATCGTTTTTTGTTGTAAAGCTAAACAAAATATCGCACGTCTTTTATAGTCTTAAATGTCATCTTCTAAATTTTCCAGTAGAGCGCTTTAAAGATTAAGGCGCGTAACTTTTTGCGCTAATGCTATAAAGATGCATACATTTCTACCTACCTCCTTCTCTTTCTCTGCTTTCTCCCTTCGTCTCGCTTCTATCAGTTCCTTGGCCCTCTCTAACTTCTCCTCCATACTGACCGTGTCCTCTGCCTCTGATGGTGCAGTTTCCATCTGATCGAACAAAACATTAGTTTATTTGTATATATTTGTAAACTTTACATCAGTCTGTCCTTTATATTCCTTATAAAGCATGACAAGGACAGACTATATTTTAAGTAAGAAATGGCAAAACAATCTCGTTTTTACTTGTTTTAAAGACTAAAGCTAAAATTAAATTTGACAACAATCTATCCTTTTCTTTCATTATAGAACATGATAAGGATAGACGTATATATCTTTCCTCAAAATTTTGATCCTAACTGAATTTTTATTACCTTTATATGATGTTATAAAGATTTAAAAGTTTTACTATTCATGAAATTCAACCCACTAATTTACAGAACCCTTATTAATAAATAAAGAATAAGCTTGGCTTAGTTACTCTTTTTTTGTTTTTGTTAATTGAATTGCATTTGAGTGGTATCAGCTATCTTCGCGTGTGGACTTCACTTAACGTCAAGTGGGGTGGAATCATTTGTTGGACCTATCTATAAAAAAAATTAACAAAACAAGGCCTAACTAGTCTAAGCTTATTCCTCGTTAATTAATAAGGGGTTTAGTAATTCATTCCCAATGACACCCCAAAAACTCACCGGAGTACTGGAAACTTCAGGCCTTTGACTGGGACCCGGTTCATCAGGTTTGACCACCCTCGGTTTCCTAACGCAGACATCGCCATCGCATACCACGTCATATTCCTGGCCTGACTTGGTGACCTCATGATGATCGGTCTTTTGTATCTTTGCTGCGGGCTCTGAGGTGCCTGCGAGCAACCAATTTAGGCTAATTGTATTGCGTATTTGGGTTGCATAGTAAATAATGAACGTAATTCATAAGTCTTCGTATTATTGTCTGTCTGTCTGAAGTGTTGCTGTGACTATTAGTACAGGTAACGGCAAACTGCTTGAGCAAAACCACAGAAAAATAAACTTGCGAAGGCTTCCTTGTCTATGGTCCTTGCTCAAGAAGTGCAATGAGCAACTAATCTATTAAGAAGTGTGCCGGGGTGTATATTAGAAAGCTGTAATTTGGCATGGTTTTGCAGATTAGTCAAACCAAGAAAGTGAGGACAAATTCGGTAATTTCCTACAGGGTCTGTGACGTCATTGGATAGGTTGTTCAACAATATGATGGTATTGTAAAAATTTTTTTGAAAATTGAGGTATAAGGATCTGTTTATTGAAAATTGTGGTATAAGGTGTTTATTTTCGTGAGAGTAAAGTACAAATTCGCTGTCGCAAAAACATAATTTCAAAAAAGTCAAGTATGCCATTGTTTGAAACTCTCAATTACCTGGTTCTGATGGTCTGATCTTCTGTTGCACTGTGGCGGCGGCCACAGTAGCTTCAGATTGCAGTAGGCTGGCCGTCTGCTCCTTTATATTTTGTGTTGAAGTCGATGGTTGTACGACGGGAGCGGTTGGTTGGTCAGGCACCTTTTCTTTGCCTTTTAAATTAGAAATTATTGGTATAACTTAAAGGTACATATATCTTATAGTATCTGAATCAACCTTTCAAAATAATATACTCCACTGTGTTATACTAAGGTAAATTTAGGACTGTATACCATATACCCATACATAATATATAAGTAACTATATATATTTATTTAGAAATTAATATATACATCCAAAACTAAGGTCCAAATGCTCGTATTCATCATACAAACAATTGCCCGATGTGAACAGATGTATTAATAAATAAAAGCATAATATAACCAAGACCTCTTAATATTATTGCTATTTTTAAGAGCTGCTCGCTCAACCTGCATAACCAAACTTATAATTTAAACCATGGAGACAATAAAGAATTGAATTGAATTGAATAATAGGCATGCATTTTTACAAATTCATACTAATATTATGAATGCGAAAGTGTGTCTGTCTGCCTGTTACCTCTTCACGCTTAAATCGCTGAACCGATTTAGATGAAATTTGGTATAGTGATAGTTTAGAGTCCCGAGGAAGGACACGGGATAGTTTTTATCCCAGAAATTATCCTTGAAGGGGGTGAAAAGGTGTGAGGAAGCTTGTATGAGAATTTTTCCACACAGACTAAGTCACCACTAGTATATTAAAATGTTATACAATGACCACCATAACCAAAGTTTGGAATTTGCGATGGTTTTCTTACGGTGTTCTGCCAGTATCCTGTCGATCCTGGTGGCCAGGTTGGGTGCCTCGACCCCGGCACACACCACCTCCAAAGGAGTGCCATTCCTGCCTATGAAGAAGAGCGACGGCACAGGTACAAACTGATCTGATTATGGAGTCAAAGATTTTGTGCAACTTATTGGAGGAACACGATGACGCAGGTGGCTTGCAATCGTGGAAGTTAACCTACTTCCGCAATGGTCGGCCATTGGATGGGTGACCAATATCTTATTACCTCCTCTGTGCTTCGGAAGACATATTAAGCCGTTGGCCCTGGCTGCTTTTGCAGTCATTGGCACCTACTAATCCGCACTGGGTCGCGGTGGGTCATGCATGGCCCAATCTCCATATTCCATCCAGGCCTATCCACTTCATAAAAGCAGAAGATTGCTGTAGAAATTTAATTTTAAAAAATATTTTTTAGTCTATATTTTTTAAACACTAAAAACGCTGTTCGCCACATTCGCCATGATTTTGACGTCTCTTGTGGTAAACAACTAAATGTCATTCGCGTGTTACTGTAGGTGGATTCTTTCGTCTGACTAAATTTATCTTAAAACACTTTTAACTTTAGGAAAGAAAAAAACAGTAAACTTAGTTTTTTTTGACTAAACAAATTATGGATGCCGGCTTTGTGAAAGCAGAAAGCACAAATCTGCCAAGAATTGACGCATTGATGGTTGGTGAATTTGTTGCACTAAACCCCGATTTCTGCTGTGCGGAGCAGAGAAACGACAATGCATCTATGTAAGTACAGTGCATTTAGTATTACAATGTAGTAATAAACATAAAACTGATACAACATATGAATAAATGTAATAAAGTTGCGTAGGTTAATTTCTTTCGGCACTTTAATCCACAACTTTCCTGGAGTCTTCAAGGATGTGTTTTTATATTCTCGTACAATACAGTAATGATAATTACTTTATTTTTCGTGGTATTTATTAGAAATCATGTTTTTTTTTATTATAAACTCAGTTAAAAGTAATTTTCTACGTGTTTACGAGTTTTTGTTTACCACAGTTCACGTCATAGCATAGACAATCTATAGACTAAAATGGCCGACAGTTTGTATGTCCATGAAAAGTCTATTCTAAAATTAAAGATTTGTAGCTTTCTAGGTTTAAAAAAAATACAATACATTTTTTTCGTTCTAATAGAACATTTATTAACCATTTAAAACCTTTTTCCAAAAAGGGTCAACTAGCCTATTGTAACAATGATTATATCAATGGTATTAATTAATTAATATATTTTTTACATTGCCTTTCCAACTGTTGAGCAATTGACCACAGATGTCAGGTACTCTGTCCAACCCACACAACAAATTATTATATTCCCGGCACATTCTAAAAGTAGGATTATGGGAGGAAACATTATTGTTTCAAATGGGTATAGAGAAAAGACACTCTCGACTCACAGATCTATTTGGAACCTTGATATAAATATTGTTTTAAAGAGTTGTCGACAAAGAGCCGTTAATGATCTTATGTAGGCAAGTGAGGTCTTGAACCTTGCGTATTTCAATACTATAAATTTATATGTGTATTCAGAAGGATTTGAAAAATAAGAAAACATATTAAGATTCAATAGCTGTATTGCAACCGAAATTAAATTATATACCTAAATGTGGCATGAGTAGCTGCCAACACACATATATACCTAATACATTTGGTGTAGTATAGGCATGATGTAGAGCACAGAATCACATAAACTCAACAAAATATAATTGGTTCAATAGAGCTTTCAATATGTCAAGCGGAAAATAAAATAAAATTTCGTTAAAGTACCCTCATTACAACTATTATAATGCCTTTTTTAGTCTTCAAAACTGTCTTCACTTTATATTTTAGTGAGTTATTAATTTACATTGCACATACTTTCATATATTTTTGCAGCATTGATACCTTTTTTTATGTCAAAAGGGTGGCAAACAAGAATATGGCCCGCCTAATGATAAGCGGCCATCATAGCCTATAGGCCCTTGTGATAGAAAAAGTATCACCTGCTCTACTGCCCACCCTGACAGAATCACCTACCCCGTGGAGCCCTGGACCTTTCTCCCAGACAGAAACACAACACCAACAAAAGGTAGTGATATTTTACAGTGGTCTAAGATGGAGGTACTTCCCCAGGCAGGCTCTCTAATTCAAGTGTAAAATCTGCTTTGCCCTACCTATCTTGACCCTTCTGCAACATTGAAAATTCAATTTGAAAACAGTAAACTCCTGTGCAAAACTATAAATGCCATTAAATATATCACAATTCTTACACTTAAATCTATTCTATTATACTGGTATTGTTAAAAGGATACAAATCTGTGCGAAATGTGTATAATTTGTTGATCCACTCTTTAGTTTCACAGCCAGGAAGTTGTTTTGGTCAGACAGTCTTTTCACAACAGCTGTGTCATCTATTGTTGTAGCCATTTCTGAGGATAGGTCATTGTCACCTGAAAATTTATGACAATTATTTATTAATATTGAAATTATGTGATATAGCTTACTTCCCTGTTTTCCAAAAAAAAATCTCAAGTTTTTTTCTCCTCCTCCTTTCCTATCCCTGAAAATTATGACCTATGGGCTAAAAATTAGTACAGTCCTAACCTTGAATTTGCAGCTATGAATATCTTGGAAACTATACATTTGTGCAAGGAGTGGAAGCGGGCAATCCTCTCCTCCGCCAACATCCCATAAGTCGATGAACCATAATCTATATATTTACTAAGGACAGTCAGACTGCTGCATTTTGTCTTCTTCTTTGTTTGAAATTGGCGGTGGCTTTTTGTGGATTTCGCCAGTGTTTTCATATTTAGGTTTGGTGTTAGATACCCATCTGTTTCTTATAAAAATTAGACTTCAAGGACTGACATCATCAGTGTACAATGTAAAGGATTTTTTAAATTTTGTATTAAGTTATATGGGTCATTAGGTTGAGTGAGGAAAGAAGAGAAAATAACCTTGTAATGTTGCAGGTATGACGTAATACAAAACTATGTTTTCGTATAATTTTCGAACGCGTTTGTTGTTTATTGATTAAATTAAATTTTAAAGTAATAAAAAAGCTTTTACCTTCTACGAAAACAACGAATATTGCATTCCGCTGTTTTGATAAATTAACCGCTTCTGCGATACTCCCGCCGTACCAATGCATTGTTGATACACTAAATTATCAGTTTTATAGTGCAGTTATAAACTTTTACCTCTTATTTTTTGATATTTTTTGTTATTTTCGGTAAAATAAAAAGAACGAGATTAATACGATGACATGACACAACAGATTTTGACAGCTGACGTGTTTTTTGTTTTTACTCATCCGTCAATTAATCTGTGACAAGATCGTTTTAAATCCCAACATAAAATTCTTTCGATTTTATAATGTCAAGTATATCCTTAATATTTTAGGGTTTTTTAAGTAATTTCAAATACTTTATACAATTGAAACCCAACATATTTCAAGAAAAACAAATTCTAAACATTTTTGTAACTTTTTTATTTAATATTCATTATTGTGCTAGAACGTACGTCAACGATTACTGTCTATGGTACATTTCATGTGACCTTGACAATTTCTACTACTCCATAGATGGCGCTTTTTACTTATTAAGCATTTAACCACTTGACAATAGATGACGCTAAACGTTCACAATATTTAGCGGAATAACGAAAGCTCAGATGTCTATGAAGTCCATAAATCTTTAAATAATATATTTATACATTAGAAGGATCCTTTCTTCTTAGGAGTATAAAAACTCATCTACATTAATCAAACACATACATAAGAGAACCTACTCTAGCAGTCGTATGTACACATACATTATTTTTTTCACTCTACACTAATGATAACTTTTGAATGGTATGAAACTTGAGAATGGTCTAACCCAAAAAGTAATTACAAAAAATTCATTGAAGATTATATCAGGTACCTGCTGCCTGAACCGATATATTTTTTTTTTGAAAGTTAATGATATTATCGTATTTTTTTTTCAGATTTTTCAAACCAATAGCTTAGCTTATAAAGGGGCGTAGGGAACTTCTCAAACAAAAAATTGCACTTTCAGGTTTAATATTTCACCAACGGATCCCTAAATTGAAAAATAGTTTTATAACCCCTTAGTCGTTTTATAGGACCGATATTCCACACGATGGGGTAGACGATGAAACAAAAATCACCTCCACTATTTTCATGTAGACCATCTTTGGAGTATTCCAATAAAAAAAGAATTATCAAAATCAGACTTCTCCGTAAGAAGTAATGCGTGATACTTAAAAAAAATATACGCGTTGACTTGAAAACCTACTCCGTTATTTCGTCGGCTAAAAACTTACTAACTTAATAATTTCTTTCTTTCGTTCTAAAGCTGGAAAGTGTTTGTCTTTTTTGGTTGAACGCGCTTATCGCATAAAATACTGGTCCGATTTGAAAAAATATTTATGTGTTGGATAGTGCTTTTATCAAAGAAGGCTATAGGCTATATAAAATCACATTAGGACCTGTAGGAGCAAAGCATCGATGAAAAATGTTTTAAACACGGATCAAATCATTTTGAGATATTATAGTCATTAATAGGAGTTAGTTACACTGCAGCGAGACAATTTGAGATCATCCCAAATATCCCATTTGTGAGCTTCCGTTGCGTGTGCTTGGTAAACGAGTTAAAGTTACACAAAAGTCATGTATCACGAAATTGTGTCCCTTTTATAAAGTCATATAAAAGTCCGCGACAGCAATTCTATCTTTTAAGTTAGACTCACTATAACTTTTTCCTCAAATTAACGCGGGTGAAACCGCAGTGAACCTCTAGTTGTGACATTACTGTAATAGTTAGACATATGGTATCGCAAACTTTTTTGTAGATATTAATGTCCTCTAGAAAACTTTAGTATATCAGATTGCTCTATTGTCAATGACTTCCGCAGTGTACGCGGATTACTAATATCATAAAACTGGAGAGTTTGTTTGTTTGTTTTTTTTTGGTTGAACGCGCTAATCTCAGAAAATACTGGTCTGATTTGAAAAAATATTGTTGTGTTAGATAGTACATTTATGCAGTTGAATGCTTAACAAATAAAAATACTTATAAGCAACAAAAATATTTTTTCAAATCAGACCATGGTTCCCGAGATTAGTGCGTTCAACCAACCAAACAAACAAAATCTTTAACTTTATATTATTAATATTAATAGATATAGAAGATAGTTTAAAAATGCACACATAATTATACGTACAAAACCAGATGTGAAATATGCTTCCTTCAAAATTTATTTCTGAACTGCAATTAACCAATTTGTTTAAACACACAACCGAGTGGCAACACCACGCTCCACTGACGATGTTTTACGGCCGGCAACATTTTACCGTCTTTGAATTTGGAACTGAAAATTGCACGCTAAAATATCAATGGTGCGCGAAATGCTTTCGCGCCTTCAATTCTAAATATGGCGGTGTGACATGTGCGAGGTACGGTTGGATTGCGTTTACCATCTTTATTTGTTTGCTCATTTGTGCTCGAGTATCATAAATACTCATTAATACTTTCACGGTATACTATTTACGTTACCGCACTTCTGACATACTGCAGTCGTATAATACGGATTGCCTTCAATAGAAACCTATCATACCTATGCCCAGGGCCTGATTTAGAGTTCCGACCGCCCTAGGCTAGCTATGAGTATCCGCCCCCCTGCCTGTCCTGTCCTACCTTTTCATTCACTTACAGGTGCAACTAACGAAATCAAATAACAAATATAGAGTGCTTAAGTAAACTAAAATATTTTTTCGAACATTTCGGACAATCGGGTGAATAAGTATCGAATATGGCAAAATTGTAAGTATTCAAAAAATCTACAACTATTGTACTTTCAATCTGTTTTCACACAACCTAAAGATTTTTAATATGTTTGTGTGAGAACTAACGCAAGAATTTGATCTAAACGCACGCATTTTCTCAAAACTACTATTACGGCGCTGAACTTAGTTATCTAAAATATGTATAAGAAGAACTTCAGTGACTGACTGACTGACTGACAATCAACGCACAGCCCAAACCGCTGGGTCTGTGGGTGCACTAAGAAAGGATTTTTCAAAATTTACTCCCGCAAGGCTTAATATAGGGGATGGAAGTTTGCATGAAAAATCCAATCAATTATAAACTTTGTATTTTTTAGTTTTCCTAAAGCACCCCCTAAAAAGCTTGGGATGGTGTCATTAACTTTATTCGTTCGGCATTATCAAAACTTATATTTTGAAGACCAGCCCCTCTAGCATGACCACCGAAACGGGATATGATCAAGCGATATATCGTCATTATCTGTCAGACTACAGTGGAGTTTGACAGTAGTCTGACAGTTAATGACGATATATCGCTTGATCATATCCCGTTTCGGTGGTCATGCTAGAGGGGCTGAAATAAAGGATAACCCGTATCAGACTTTTTCGAAAGTCCACATATAAAAAAAGGGGATGAAAGTTTGTATGAAAAATGTTATTCTTCGAGTTATTAGACTTAAAACTTGGTACGAATACTTATCTAAATAAATTATAAAGTTTTCAATTTTCTATCCTAAAGGGGAGATTGGAGGATGTCCACGTTTTTATATAAATTAATTGTAACTCGCATTTCGATTCACTTCTGCAGTACTTATACTTGAGAACTGAAATGCAGAATAACATGTATCAGGGTTCTTTTAAACTCTAGATGAAGTGAACGGGGTGAAAAAAGGAAGCAAATTTTACTGGGGAGTATTTTACGGCCGGGCTTGATTAAATCGGAAAAGGGCTGAACAAATTTGGATAAACTTTAGCACACTTTGAAATAAGGCGGGATGTTTGTAAGTTCGTAAAGATTTTTCTAGCGGGTTTAAGGGATAAATCTTCTTTAAACATTAAAAATCAATTACTGTTCGTGTCTCGCTAAGACTCAAAAACGGTTCAGCTGATTTTGGTTTTGAAATGTTTGTCGTAGTACAGGGAAAGTTTAAGCGGTGTGAAAATATGGAAAAAATTGCGTGCACTACCAAAATAATCAGCTAATCAACAATATAACAATCATAATCCTAATTAATTTAGCAAAACAAAATAAATGCAATCGCATTCATCGAGTTCAAACTAAGCACCAACAACGCATCCGCCGCAAAACGAATTATTGGAACAAAACAAAAACCAATACAAAAACGTCAAAACAGGCGCGCATCGCTATCCATCAGCGTGACAGGCCGTCTCATGGCTACAAAACGGTTGAGATTACTGCTCGTTAGGCATTGATGACTTTGTTAATTGTTATTTGGCACCAAATTAGAATGGACGTTCTCAGTTAGTGACGTGTGAATTGATTGCTAGTTTGCGTTTGAGTATTTTAATTTGAATTGTTGCAATGTTGGCGCGACGATGGGGACCGTTTCTTCGCGGCGTGCGGCGGGCGACCCGACTCTTTGTTGTTCTTCCGCGACGGTAATAATTTACGAGCTCCTTTAGTGTGTCATCTGAAAATAAAATTAGGCATTGCAAGTACATTTTCCTTTGTGGTCTGAATATGGTGTGAGATGATGTCGATTTCAATTGATCGCCAAAGAGACATCCCTTACACACATTTTATTCTATCCGCATCTTGTTAAGATTAATTGGACAGCAGTCTCTATTGTCTTTTTGCTAAAAAATATAACATTTTAATTACGTATCGTCCTTATTAACTAGTTTGTTTGCATTTACCATACCAATACAAATACCACTGCCGCCATTGCAACGTAGGTAGCTTTAGACGAAAGAGATTGATTTATTACGGTAACTAGCGACCCGCCCTCGCTTCGCTTCGGTGTAGAGCTGAAGTGTACACTACAGTTTTTTTTCTCAGGCTTGTATTATACACAATGACATTCATCTAAGATTCTTCTTATACCTGCATGCAAAATCTCAGCCCGATTGGTTAAAAATTGACAAAGTTTCATACAAACTTTCATTCCCTATTTTATCCACTTGAGGGTAGAATTGATCAAAATCCTTTCTTAGCGGATGCCTACGTCATAACATCTACCTGCATGCCAAATTTCAGCCCGATCCGTCCAGTGGTTTGGGCTGTGCGTTGATAGATCACTATGTCAGTCAGTCACCTTTGAGTTTTATATAAGTATATAGATAAGGTATAATTTGGAAATAGTAGCTTCAACACGGACTTTGAATAATTTTATTTAGAAAAGAAACACATTTTTAGGGTTCCGTAGTCCTAACAAGGAACCCTTATAGTTTCGTCATGTCCGTCTGTCTGTCCCCTGTTTTGCTTGGAGACTATT